CAGTGGCTGTGGGATATCTGTGGTCCTTAAAGTGAAAAATAAGTGAAGAAGCATTCAACGGGACTGTTTTCTCATTATCCCTTTTAGACTTTGGCTGAAATGAACTCAGCTTGGTTTTAGTACCACTGAACACTTCCAGTCTGAAGGCCACGAGACTTTTACCAGAAACACAACAGCGCTGCTGCTGGAAGAAGGCAGGGCTCCCTGAGCAGCGCCCCAGGGCAGCAGCAATTGCTCTTGAGCCATCGTGCTGCAAGTCGAGGAGCTAAATATTTTTTAGCTCTTCCAAGAGCCTCACATGCAAATGAGTATTTCCAACATTTCCTTCCTCAGTTTTTCTCTTGGGGGTCAGCAATTCCAGCTGTTTTTTCTTACTTTTCTCAGTAAAGACACTGCAAATGTTCTGTCTGAAGTAGTGTCCTTCATGGTTCTCCTTGATCCCAGCTCTAACCTGTCAGCATCACTGCCTACACTCAGTCAGCATCTCTGCCTACCGGCTGACTGCCAACCCCCTCGGCTCGGGCCAAAGAAAGAGGAGCACTGCGGCAAGTTCTCGTAGCCCCCCTTCCAGCTCTGTCATGGGAGAAACCAGTAGACTAAGCTGAAAAAAACCTCTCTTGTTTCAGCCTTCACCAATTCTTCACAGTCTTTGCAAAATTGCTTCCAAAGATGCATCAATTTGCTGCATCCTCTCCCTGTTTATTAGCTACATACTAACCTCAACCTTCAAGTCAAGTTTAGTGAGGAGCCGAGAGACCTCACGTGAAGGAGCTGATTACCCTGTGACAGCCTTGTGTCTGACATGCTCCCAATCACACGGAAAACACACCTAGCTATATGGCTGTGCAAGTGTACAACCCACATGAGTGTGTGGAGACAGATCAGGTAAAATTTCTTAAACTTGAGTTTACGTTTCCTGCCTGGACATGTGCCAGAAGCCAGTTTCAGACAGGCTGTCTCTAAGCGACTGCCAGGTTTGGGGACTCTGAGGTGGCTGGATGTTTACATACAACCCACATCACAGTTTGGCTTTCGAAGCTGGTTTGTCTTGGCCACTGGAGCAAGCCCAGCATATCATCTAGGCTCAGCTGGACCTTGACTGGTGTATGTGTGTACAGTCTTGGGTATCTTGGTATCTTGGGATAATCAGAGGACCAGCTGGCCCTTCTCCATCTGGTAACAGAAATACCCGGTAGTTGCCAGAACAGTTATCCCCATAGCAAGTGGGCTCCTCATGTGTTCCTGTAAAGAGAAAGCTTTTTTGGGCTCAAATAAGGGATTAGGCATGTATTCATGTCTATGTCCAATGTGGCATCAATTTCTCCCTCTTTGAATCTGATAAAAGAGCTATCAAAAATGTATGTGTGTACCAGCGTCAAAGGCTGTGCCTCACCACGAGACTGCTTCCAGTCTATCCAGAGGCTCTTGAGATGGCTGTCACAGAGCAGAGAATGTATATAGCTGCTTCCCGTGGATCACTAGAAACACAGCATGGCTAACTATCCTTTTTTATTAGTTCCCTTTTTTCCTGGGCTTCCTCATATTGGTTGGTTTTGCTCTCCAATGCCTTAGTTTCTGGTAGTGTGGCACCTTCCCAGTCCTACGGCTCTTTTGATTTGCTGTCACTCATATTGCTCTGGTCTAAATTCAGACTGATTCCCTGGCTTAGTGTTTCTCATTGATTTTTAGACCTAGCCAATAAGAAATGTCAGACACTGACAGCTAAGTGCAGTTTAAGTCATATAAATGAGTCTGGCCCTTACATGTATTTGTTTTCTAAAACAGTTTTATCATTTTGCCTTTCTTACATAGAATATTGTCCCTGTATCCCTCCTTCTTTCCTCTGTGCCTTTCTCTCCATACCTCCTTCACATGGTGGTTGCAGAAGGCAATTTCAAGGAACAGGTTCACAGAGACAGAGGCTGGACTTTGAGTGATGTTGATTGCCTTCCCACTACCTAGCAAGCTCTTGGGCACAGCACCAAATGGGCCTCACTCTGCCTGCTCAGTGACAAGCTCACACCTTGTGTCCCACCATTACATCCCTGGCTTTTGCCCCAGGTGCATTTGTCCCATTTGTACCCTGGCTTGCAGCGTGCTGTTAGATCAGAGGACTTGAAAATAGGGGGCAAAAAGTATATTGAGCCCATCATTACAGGCCTGCTTCATGAGCTGGAGGAAAACAAATGTTTTTTCCCATGAAGACAAGGCTTGGAAAAGCATTGAGAAGTAATTAGTCAATGAGACATCATGAAAATTCAGGTGATTTGCATTCCAGCTAGCTTAGAGCAGAGGGACATCTGTTATAGCTTCTTCATCAACATATGCATTTGCATCTCCTCTTTACGCAAAGATACTTAAATCATTTTATTTTAGTGGTGCATTTCAGTCACACAGAGAGAATCGTGAGTGGGGACAAAGAGATTTGCTTTGACATCCTGAAATGGTCAAGTGTACTGAGCATCACTACAAGGACTATTGCTTGTAAACCTAATGAAATAATAGGTATTTAAAATCTTACCAAGAAGATATTAGACTCATGCATGCTATTTCAAGTGCTCTTGAATAAGGTGCATGCTATTTGGTAACATCCTCCTATTAGCTTGTTTAGTCATATGTTAAAGGAATTGCTTGTCATCCTAAATTACCAGTTGAGTCAGACTGCATGAGCCACAATATTTTTCTTCAGTACAAAGGGTTACAACGTTTTGTAGAAAACATGGTTTGTAATTACCCTTCTGCAGCAGCAAAGGGGGAGGGAGGAAGAAAGAAAAGAAAGAACTCAGCTCAGAGGACTTTATATAAAATACCAAAGTTCATTTGATTTCAGACTCGGTTCTTTTTCCTGCTCACAGGTTTCCATACACACTGAATAGAAAAGTTTTGCCAGCCCTCAAACTCCCAGCGGGAGGCTGGGAAGAGTGAAGGTGTTTAGCGAGGCTTTCCCAGCCCTTTGCAGGGAAAGGATGTTTTTCCCTTGCTCTCTGGGAAATGCAGCACCAAACACTTCCTCTTTTCTCATGCCTGTTGCCTTGAAACCCTTTATGGAGACTTCACCCTCGTTTTATCAAATAAAAACCAGGAAAGACCAATATATTCCTGTGACAGAAATTACTTTGTTTTACTACTTCTTCATTGCTAAAATGGATGGAAAGCAGGTGATTCTGTGCCTGGGCCCATGGACTCCACTGCGAATTAGGGATGGCAGAAGACACACCCTACCAATGAAGAAATGTGGCAATGCTGTGGCCCTAAACCCGCAGCTGCGTAAGCAAGGGCAGCAGAGACTGGTAAGGCTGAGCTGCGGTGAGGCAGCAGTCCGGGACTGTGCTCCGTTCAGGTTTGGTCTCGTTCTTCTTCATGTGAATCCAGAACACAGCAATGAAGTCATCGGGTTTGTGCTGATTTGACTATAGCACACTGTTACTTCTCCCCAGTCGTATAGTGCAGTGTCATCGGGTGAAGGTAAACAGTAATTGGGAAAATGGGTTGTGCATCATTTGTTTCTTAAGAAAACCAAGCTAGTGTGCAATTACTGCCTATCCTTGTGGTATAAAGAGGCACCGGACCTATTTCTTTCCTCATGCTGGTTTCACATCACTTCATATTCATCGATATTTAGTGGAGCAATTGCTGCTTCAAGCCAATGGCAAATTATGTTCAGGGACATGATACCAGAACAATAAAAACATTCCTGCCCCTCTCTAGTCTCTCCTCGTTTACCCCCCACTCTTTCTACCTTGCATTTGAAGCACCTAATTTTCCATTCTCTGCTACGTCCATATTTGTAAAAAATGAGCAGATGTTTTTGCTGAATATGAAGCTGAGAAAAGATGGTTATTTCATCTCAGCTCTAGAGAATTACATGCGTGGATTCTTCTGAAGGTAGATGAGACTCCCTTTTTTAGATATCTCTCTGCCACACCAAATTGCAATGCTTGTTTCGATGGTTTCCACACACAGGAGAAAAGCTGCACAGATTTGCCTGAGTGTATTGAAATGTTTTATTGAACCTGTGAATCATCTCATAACTTATTTCTTTTATGTTTTTATGGTCTTACTTCTCTGTCTTAGAAGTACACAATAAACACATATCCAGTAATGAGCAACATAGAGAATGTAAATTAGGAGCCACTTTCCAAAAAAAATGAAGTATTCAATGAACTTGAAAAGCTGCACATTTAAAACTGCTGTTAAGAAATACTACCTTGCATCACTCATAAATAATCTTTTGAACTCCATTCAGTGATAAATCATTGTATCTCTGTAATGGGTGTCATGGATAAAGAAAATCTCAAACGATGAGTGCAGTATTTTATCCTGAGAGACTGAACTCTTCATGCTTTAAGGCCTGAACCAACTACTAATTGTTAGGCTTCTGAAACGAACTTCCCTTTTAGAAAGATTTCTTTCACCTTTCACTGAAATGTCTATTGCAGACCACTGTTGGAAGCAAGGTACTGGGTGTAATGAACTACTGAGCTGACATCAGATATTAATGCCTATATTATGGGAAAGTTGCATTAAATTCTTCAGAATTTTTTGAGCTGTGGACTCTGATGTCAGTCACGGTCCAGCATATTCCCTGCTCAGGAGCAGATCTCCCATTTGGGTCAAAGACAGGCCTGACCTGCAGAATTAATTTTGCACCCCAGTCTTTCTCAAAATTGAGGGCATTTACATCTGAGGCATGATGTCATGACTCCCATGACAGAGGAATTTATGCAAAAGGCTGGCTAAACTGAATCTTAGGCGTGCTTTGGCCCATTTTTGTTGATACAGCAAATTAACTGTCCCTTCCCAGCGCAAGCATAGTGCATATCAACCTAATCCTGGAATACACCTAAAATGAAACATACAGATTTAAAGTGATCTTTTTTATTAGTGCTATTGACATGTGATTTTTTAGACTGACACCTTTTGAAGGAAAGAGCCCAGCAGAGCTGGAATAGGGTAACTCATTCAAAACACATCTGAGGCCTGACTGCAGGAAGAACCGTTCAAGAAAGTGTGTCAAGGTAGTAGTTCTCCCATCTCTTCACTCTGTTAATCACTACCTTCCATTTGTTTGGGGTCATCTTCTCTATTCCTTTAACAATCAAGTCATTGAAGAGGATACACCTGTAGGAACAGGTCCTCTCAATAGACCTCGGGCAAAATCTTTCCTGTTGTTTATGATAAACCATTTCAAAGACGACCAGGCAACATCCATAGGGTAGAGGTAGTTGTAAGACGAAGGCACAAGAAGAAGCTTATGGCCATTGGCTCTAGCAACTTCAGGGCGACACTCAGCGCTGGACATGTAGGTCACTGGTGGGATTGGCGGCAGAGTTCCCATCTCCAGCTCCTTGCTGTCTTTTGCCCCGACACGCATCGGCTGCCTTTTGTCCCTTGTCACAATTATGCACTTCCCATAGGAGGTGGTCAAAGAATCACACAGCTCCTGAAAGATACTGTTCTGCTGGCGGATGGGCAGATCACCCCTCAAGAGCAGCTTGTACCTCCAGGGCACCACCCACCCTTGGCTGCTGCTAGCGTGAACAAGTGTCCATACTGGCCAGCGCAGGCTGGCCTCCTCGGTTACTGTTTCTCCTGTTATAAGACTTTCTGGAATATCTGTTTCCCCTAAAAAACCAGTGTTGAAACCGTTAAGCTGCAGTGTCCTCAGAGCTCTTAAATACTGCAGGCACTGCCTCTTTGAAGTAGCATCAAAGCAGCCCCCATGAATTATGTGCCTGAGAAGCGGGTTTGTGACGTGCTGCATGTTGGCATCTCAAGGCTCGGGGCGCTCATGGATCTCACAATGCGGCCGTTGCCCCGGCGTTACCCCACGGTGTCACACCCAACCGGTGGCAGCACCAGTAGGGCCTCGCAGCAGGCTCATCAAAAGGCGTCTTGGAGAACAAAAGTCCCATCAGGCTGGGTAGGCTGCAACTGTGCAGCTGGTGGCTTCTGGTCAGGACATTGCTCATCTTGGATATCGTGGTTCCTTCTCTGACAGCACTGAGTGGGTGCTTGGGTGCTGTGTTCTGTGTGGGCCAGCCAGGCACTGCCAGAAGGAGTCCAGAGGGGTGGGGATGTGGCAGAAGAAGCTGCATGGAGTAATGGAAAGTGAGACAACACCTGACCTTTGAGACCAGGGGTAGAAACCATTCCTTCCCTCCCTGGCAAGTGTGTGACCTCATGGAAGATGTGGCCTTGACATCCCCCCCAGGTGGAGGAGAGGGCTGAACCCCCGGTGTGTTGTTATGGGGGCACAGAGGACCTCTGGACCCCCACACAATCCTCTCTTGACAGGCAGGCACAATCCCAGCAGCGCTGCGAGGTGATGCCTTGTGCCCAGCGCCCAACAGCACGGCAGCGTGCGCGAGATCCACCATGCTCTGCCCGCCCGGCTCCAGACCTCAGAGAGGGGAAAGAATAAGTGTCGCCTCAAATGTGGCTTCAGGGTGAGGTATTTTTAGGAGTAATTTGGTTTCTAGAGTTCCCTTAGCTTCCCACTTTGTGCACCTGCTTCTCCATTTTGTGCTGACCCTACTGACGAAGCCCCGAGGGACCGACGCTGACACTGTTGCCACCTCCAAGGGTGAGCAACACCTTCAGAGATGTGGAAGGGATTGTGAGGGAAAAAGATTGCTCGTGTGGTGTTATGCAAACACCCAGGCTGAAATGAAGGTCAGAGCAGAAGGCTGGGCAGGTACCACCCTGCTACCATGGCAAGTCAAACGGGGGCATGGGGGCATGTGGCAAAGCGAGGGCTGCAGCCGGCCTGGGGAGCAGGAACAGTCAGGGGGAGATGTGTGCACGCGTGTGTGCAAGCGTGCGTGCAAGCGTGCACAGGCGTACCAAGGGCAGCAAGCGTCTGGCTGGGGAAGGTTGCGGAGCAGCAGAAAGTGACGACTATTTTGACCTGTCTGGTTTCTTACCTGTCCCTCCTCCTCCCTACGGATGCACGTGCAGAATTATTACTGCAGGAACAAGCTTGTCAGTACGAGACTGTTAAATCGCTCACACTTGTCCGTACCTACAAAGCTGGGAGTAGACGCTGGCAGCATCATCAGCCTGCCACATGGCGGGGAACAGCAGAAACGTGTAAGTCCCTGATGACAGCATGCATTTCCTTGCCCACCTTTGAAACTGAGATACCCCACGGTCTGTGCTGTTGCCTCTGGAACAGCTTTCCTTCCCCCGAGCACATGGGGAAACTGAAGTCAAAAGATGTCTGAACAGGAACATGGCCAGCGGTGTCTGATCAGCCGTCTGGATGCTCTCCTTGCTGAGGCAGATGAGTGACGGGGCATGTCATGTTAGTAGTATCACATGGAAAGCAGAAGCCTGGAAACTGCGTTTAAGAAGGGGGATATACCCCCAGAAAGAAGCCTTTATGGTCTAACGATTAGCCAGATGAAAAATGATGGCAGAGTCAGACTGTACACATATGAAAAAAATTCCTTGAATATGCAGTACATAGTCATATGAGAATGCAACATAACATTGACCTATCTTTATTAGCATTTCACACTGTGGTATACCTTTCTCTTTTAGTGTTAACTTTTGTCCTCAATAAATACATACCAGGAGCATAAGCTGACTTGAGTAGTCCTACTGGAGTTATTGAATACTTATTAATTTTGAAAAGCGCACATATTTAGAGGCCTGATTAGGGTCTGAGGTCCCCCAAAATGCTGATCTAGAGACCTCACTGTTCAGCAACTGGATGTAAAGTGTCAAAAGAACTACCTGTAAAGAAATGTTATTCCCTAATTTTCCTTGGTGTCTGTGATCAGCATCCTATCCGTGACACCCACTGGAACCGCAGATCATATTCCCTGTTACCTAAATTGAAGGTGTCGTTTCCTTCTCTCCTCTACAGAGAGGATTTACTAAATTGTGCATGAGTTGGAGCATGCCATGTTTGAGACAGACACAAAAAGGGCACGTCTCTTCCGTTACTCTTGCTTTTTAGCTATCTTCTAATTGTGAGTGGATACCAGTAGGAAACAGAGCAGGCGAGCAACTGCAGTAGCAGCCAGGCAGGGTCCCTGGGTACAAGAGTGAAGTAAGGGCTTCCCCTCTCCCACCTCATCCTCTCCTCCCCGACCAGGCTTGTCCCTGAGGCCTCCTGGCCATGCCAGGCCACGGACGGCTCTAACGCTGCCCTCCTCGCCCCTCTCAAACCCGCCCCTGCCGCCCTCACCAGTGGCAAGCGGCAGCTCTGTGCCGGAAAGCCGTGGTGCCCAGCCCATTTGTGTGCGCTGAGACTGCTCCGTGAGGCAACCCAAAGCACACTGGCAGCGGTCAGGAGATGCGCTTCAAAAGCATGGTCCTCCTCTGAACTCGTGTAGGTGTAGCTGGGGTTGCCCGGGAAAACAAGGCTTGATGTTCTTCAGTTCAGACCCCCTAAAGCAAACAGTCCCGAAGCTGTTCCTCTGTCTCTCCAGCCTTTGAAACCGTTCCCCTGTCTCTCCAGCCTTTTGTGTTTTTGCAGCACCAAGCGAAAAGCTGAGAGACAAAGGCAGCCCGCTGCCTTATGCCGAGCACTTGTCCGTGCTTTCCTGTGCTGATGAAGGCACTTAGCAAGGTGGATGAGGCGGGTGCAAAACACCCTTTCTTCTTGTGAGGCCTTAGGCATGGGCAAGGTCTGTATCACTGTATTTTGGTGCTGTCCCAGAAGGACGTGGCGATGCTCTTAGCCTGTCGGGTGGCATCAGCGTGCCTGCATCTCCAGCTGGCCCGGGCTCCTTCAACCGCCATGAGCGATCTGAGCCTAACTGGTTATGAACGTAGCGATGATAATGCAGCTGATATGTAGTGAGATGGGAGGGATGGACTGCTTTCATGTCCTTTTCAGAGTAACTATTTGAGATGCAGATTCTCCTGTCCCATTCATATATATGACATAAACCTATCTGTTATCCTGCTTTAAAAGCAATTATTAATTTTGTTTTTTATAATACAATTTGAAAAACTTGGCCAGCAGACATAAGGCACTGGGCTGAGGCACAAAAATACGTATTTTATTTCCTGTGCTACCTCTAGTCTGCTGTGTTACATTTTGCCTCTTCTCCCTTCCGCCCCGTGTCTACGTAGCCAGTGAAGCAACTTTGGGGCAGGGACCTTTCCGCCTTTTGTAATTTTAGGCTTCTGACATTCCCTAGCAAGGGCCACGCAGTGCAAAATCTCTGGGGGTAGCCCCTGCCTCACAAGTGCATTTCGGATTTGAGAAAAGACATTTCTGATCTCGCTCTCATTCTTCAGCCGCTGATCCGGAGAACCCGCCCCCCCCGCCGGCGAGCCCTGCCTCTGGCAGTAAGCTTGGGGTTTGGGCTTCAGCGTGGGGACCACCCATCTTCCCCCAGCGCACACAGCTGTCGCGCCCAGCACCCCACGCTCAGGGTACCGGCCGTGGGTCGCACCTGCCCCCCCGGCGTCTGCAGGTGCGGGAGGGTGGGCTCGGTGGCGCGTGGAGCGTCTCACAGGGGTGCCCAGGCTCAGCGGCATCCTGCTGCCCCTGGGAAGGGGGGGAGGCCTGGCCCCCGCCTGCTGCCAGCTCCTCCGTCGCTGCCTGGGTACACAAGTTGGGGCCGAGCCCACCCCGCGCTTTTTTGGTGCTTCACCAAATTCCATTGTACCACTCAGCTAAATAACAAATTTACCAATTACCCACGAACAAAGTCCCTAATAACGAAGCAATTAGGATACCAATTACCAGTTACATACCAATTACCCATTTCAGTAGTAATTATGTTATTAGGTTGCCAGTCACCACATTCTATATGCAAGCTAAAAATCATCACAAACCCTTTATTTTAAATCCCAGATAAAAACACAATGAAACACAGAACATAATGAAATACACATAAACAGTAGGCATGATGCTAGGCAAACAGTGGATGTTTTTACTGCTGCATTATATTACATGTAGCAGCTAAAATTAAATTGCTAATTTTGAAATTTAACATTTTATTTTTATCTAAATAAAATGTTTTGTAAGTTTGAACATTTTTTTCCCCAAACCAGCACTTGAGAACATTGTTCTACAGGGAATTTGGTTCTCTTCCCGTCTTGCATGGAGTGAAAAAAATTAGGATTCTTTTTCTAACAAATACCATACCAAATTTAAATAATCTATTTTCCCTCCTAGCTGTCTGATGAAGTCCTGAACAGTAGCTAAAAAGTCCCATGCCAAAGAAGTATTTCTAGTGTCAAACGAGACTTTCCAAAACTGTAATTTTAGCTCTTGATCCGTGATGGAACCAGTAAGAGAAGCACTTGCCAAAATCAAAGGCGGCCTCAGGGTGGGAACACAGAAAAAGGTGGAAACTTCAGAAAATACATTAAGCCAATATCTAAAGTAAGAGCCCTGAACTTCTCAGAACAGAGTTAGTACAACTGCTGGCGGTTTCCCACACAGACCAGCAAGGCACCTTGTGAAAACTGATGAAATTTGGGTTTGAGCATTAGGGATTCTCTGCCCAGGTTGAGCTTGGCAGCCTTCCCTTTGGTGGCATCACAGTCATCGCTTCTGCCCAAGTACGGCCACTATTTCAGGTAGGAATACTTGCCATCTATTGCCTGGACTCTGTAGGAACGGGGTAGCTTTAGGAGTTGAAGTTCATGGTCAGACGTGGTTGACACCGTATGTACACACGTATGTGTCTCCCTGAGGTGGGGAAGGAAAAAGAAGGGAAAGTGTTTCAAGGCCGAGGGGTTGGCATAGAACTGATGGCTGTGCCTGGGTCTGGGAAGGGGACAGAGCCATTA